CGCGGACTGAACTGCTTCCTGTTACAGCCGAGCGTGTGTGTTTGGAGTGGGACGATTGAGCTGGGACATCTGGGAACACTGTTCAGATGTATCCTATTCTTCTGTAATGCAATCCTCATGTGTTTACTGAAATGAACTACAGTTTACTGATGTGTAGTGCTCAAAAATAGATAGACAAACACAGCTGAACACAGCATATTGAAAGATCAGAACAGAACAACATTGAAAAATGTACATAGTTTATTTTATAATATATATTATAAAAAAATATTGTTATAAGTATGTGTATATATATATATATATATATATATACATACATACATACAGTCATGTGAAAAAGTTAGGACACCCTATAGAATTCCATGGTTTTCTGTATCAGGACATAATAAAAATTATCTGGTCCTTGGCAGGTCATAAAATTTGGAAAATAAAACCTCAGATGAACAACACATGACATATATCATACAAAGTTAGGACACCCTATGATTCAATTGCTTGTAGATCCACTTTTAGCAGCAATAACTTGAAGTAATACTTTTCTGTATGACTTTATCAGTCTCTCACATCATTCTGGAGGAATTTTGGCCCACTCTTCTTTACAGCATTGCTCCAGTTTATATTCAAGTTTATGTACAGCTCTCGCCACAGCATTTCAGTCAGGATGAGGATGACTGGGCTATTGAAACACCTTGATGCTTTTCTTTTCAGCCCTTCTGTTGTAGATTTGTTGCTGTGCTTGGGATCATTGTCCTGTTGTATGATCCAATACTGGCCCAACTTTAGCTGTCGGACAGATGGCCTCACATTTGACTCTAGAGTACTTTGTATACAGTGAGGTGCCCAGGTCCTGTGGCTACAAAACAAGCCCCAAATCGTCAGCCCTCCACCAGCATGTGTGACTTTTGGTATGAGGTGTTTGTGCTGATGTGCTCTTTAGGTTTTCACCAAACGTGCTGTTGTGCATTATGGCCAAACATCTCCACTCCGATCTCATCTGTTCAAAGGACATTGTTCTAGAAGTCTTAAGGATTGTTCAGATGCAACTTTGCAAACCTAAACCGTGCTGCCATGCTTTATTCAGATAGAAGAAGAGGCTCTGGCAAGCCTTCCAAACATGCCATACTCGTCCCATATTTTTCTAATCGTACTGTCATGAACTTTATCATTTAACATGTTAACAGGCCTGTCGAGTCTGCAGTGAAGTTCTTGGATTGAACTTGGAGTAGCCTGACTGCTACTTACCCTCTTAATTGCTATGTTAACAGTAAGGGTGTCCTAACTTTGTCACACATGGTTTTCCATTTTGGCTTTATTTTTGTTAAATAAATAAGGACACTGTGTGATATGTCATGTTTAAGACCTATTTTCCAAATTTTAAGACCTGCCAAGGACCAGATATATATTTTTTAATTATGTCCTGATACAGAAAACCATGGAATTCGATACGGTGTCCTAATTTTTTCACATGACTATATATATGTATTAGGGCTGTCAGTCTATTAAATCTTTTTATCTAATTAATTACATGATGTGTCAATTAATTACTCTAATTAATCGCAAATTACATTACCCCCAAAAGATTATTTAAAGCTATTTTTGTGTTAAATGAGAAAGTATTAAATAGAAGTATTAAGTAAATAGTAGCTTAAAAAAAGAAATAATTGATTTGATTCAACATAAAATTATTACACATAAACGTTTAGGCTACAACGGCCTAACGTATACTGTGGAACATAAAAAAAAAGATCATTTGAGAAACATCTCAGTTTTTTTTTTCCCGTTCATGCAATGGAAGTCATTGGTAACCAAAACAGCTTTGTTACCAACAGTCTTCAAAATACCTTCTTTTATGTTCCACAAAAGAAAGTAAGTTATTCAGGTTTGAGTAAATGATAAATTTTTTGGGTGAACTATCCCTTTAAAGTTTTTTCCCCTTTTGTTAAACGAAATAATACTCTAAATAAGAAACTAAATCTGCCAGCAGGTGGCGGTAAATGTCTTTTATGAGTCATTCATTCATTCGATTCGTTCAAAGGGATGATTCATTCAGGAATTCAGTAAACGGCTCTCTTTATGAATGGGCCTTTGAATCATTGATTCACACGATTCGTTCAAACCGAGGATTCATTCAGAAACTAAACACCGCTATGTTGCTCACAGACGCACAACAGTTCTGCGGTAGTTTTCATAGTTAAGTGCGTTAACTGCGTTAAAATATTTAAATCTTGTTATTTTTTCATAACTACTTAAGTTAACACGTTAAATTGACAGCCCTAATATATATATATATATATATATATATGGATTTTGTTTATATTTTTATACTAATATGTTTTATGAATATATATGCTTTAAAATATATAAAATCATAATCTTTAAAAATGTAGTATATTTTATAATGCAGTATATGCAGTATAATTTTATATACTTCTAATTTTACACAAATGTACTATTATTTAAATTAAACTGACATAAATTAAATGAAGGAAAGCTGTTCCAGCTGATTGGAATCTGTTCTGATGTCTTGTTACAGATGAGCTCGTCAGACTGATGTCTGGACACATCTACAAGACTTCGAGTCAATAAAAGAGTGGATACCTGCAGTGACTCTCCAACATCTCAACATCTTCAGCTCGTGCGACAGAAGAACTGATTCAACCAGAATGATCAGTATTGTTTGGACGTCTCTCTTATCTCCGGTCAGTCCTAGTATTTGAGAGACCAGAATTACAGTCTGGTCGTGTTCTACCTATATCAGCATTTGAAAATCTATGTGTGTAGGTGTTTGTTTAGATCACTGATCCTATAGAAATGTACTCCAGAGTGAGTTTCTGAGCAGCTGCTGGGTTTGTTTCAGATCTGCGGTGTGTTCGCTTGTTTTGTAGCGATGTTCAGACTGTAAAGAATGCTGTTCTGTCAGCGCTGTGAGCTCACTCTATTCATTTCAAACTATTACACAGTTTAACCTTCACCGCGCAGTTTGCTGGTTCTGATCATCTGGAGTGCGACTCATTTTTCTTGCCGGTGCTGCTACAATGTGACCCAAATTATCAGGGTTTGTGGCGAGACACGGCATTAATCTCAGCATCCTGCGGCTCCAGAGAAACACAATATCTCATGAGCGCTTTTGTCAACTGTGATACAGTCAGTTTATGGCATCAACATGATGAGTTTTGCATCCGTTTGTTTCTAGAGACGTCTCTCTTGTGATGTTTATTGACCTATTTTTCATTATTAAAGAAATAGTCCACATAAAAATGACAATTCATTTACTAACCCTCATGTTGTGCAATATTTCTTTCTGCTGTGAAACACAAATAAAATGTTAGGCAGAATGTCAGAGCTGAAGGTGTTTATATTGCACAGCTCCACAGATTACTTTTGTAACGAGTATTTTGAAGTCTGTTTGTGTGAGAAACAGACGCTAATTGAATTCCTCTCCTTGGATAGATTAATTAATAGACTGGTGCTTTATTGAGTCTATGTGGGAAACTGGGATGCATTGGCAGCAAGCAAGAGATTTCATCATTTTTCTTTGGTACATTAAAGTGAGAGAGACACTTTCTTTTACTTTCTTTCCATTATTTTTTATTGAAAATTATTTTATGATTTTTATTTTGTATGTATATGATTTTATTTTACACATCCCAGCCTCTCAATCTTTAAATATAATACATCATATAATACAATATGTATAAATTGTAAGATTTTTTTCCAATTTATATATATTTTCGATAAATTTAAATATGATAAATGTGATAATACACCACAAAAATATAAAAAATAAGTATAATGAAAAAAGATGATCTGAAAAAAATAATTATTTTATTTTGTAAAAAAAAAAATATATAGTCAATCTTTAAATATAATACATTTTAAAAATAAAGTAATAATTTAAATTAAACAAAGGATCTACGATGTTCTAAAAATGATTTTGTGATTGCGAAAAAAAATATATATAAATTATATATAAAATGATAAAATGTAAAAATAAAAATATATATTAAAAAGTTTTTCGCAAAATAAAATCATAAAAACGTTCTTCAAATTATCATAGGTATTTTTTTTGTTTGCTTGTTTTTATTAAAAAAGGGTGATTTTTTTTTATTTTGGGAAAAAATATTTTTTAATATATATTTAATGTTTTTTTGTTTTTTACATTTTTATACACAAACTGCAACTGCCCCTCAGATATTTCAATCATGACTTAAAAAAAATAATAATTTGTCTCTGTCCAAAGAGTCGAATGTGTCAGTGAACAGCTTGAGATGAAATATGAGGCGTGACATTTGAAGAAAAAGGTAAATATCACTTAGTTGTCTATCATTTCCATTCAAGCTATAATATTTTCAAATTATGCACAAATGTGAATTTTGTATGCATGACAGGGCGAGAACGGAGCTTTGGTAGAAATGCGTGTATATCCACTGTTGAACACAATTTTCTCTGTTGAAAATGTGAAAATATATGCATTATCAACAAGATACACTATTTATACACAGAACATGCACAGTATATATTTCAATAAATAAACATTATTGATGAGAGTAAGCATTGCATGACAGTTTAGGGCACATGCACGAATAGCATCTTTTGCACATGTATTATATTGCAGATGTATAATGTAGACTCTATACATTGTAGAGCAGCGCTGCATCCAGAGCATTAGTGCAGGAGAGCACGGGGTCATTTAGTGGCGGTGCAGACTCTCTTATCAGCGCTGATTTACAGCTCCTGTCTCCTCCACACAGCAGCATCATTAATAGGGCTGCGTGTGTGTGTGTGGTAACATCATTAATAGAGACAGTGATTAATTTCACACTGAACCCTGAGCAGCCTGAAGTGTTTGATTTATGACACACTGTGAATTCAGCTCATTGACTCGTTATTTATGCTGATGACCAATTAGTGAGGTCAGCGGCGACTAATTCAAAATCCCGGACTGCAGAAAGGTTCGGAGTTCAGAGCGCAAGAAAGGCTGCTGCTTCTCTATTACAGATGCCAAAGAAAGACTGACTGACTGATGAAACCGGCCTTGACATCTCTAGAAGTTGTGGGTGATTGCCAGCAAAGAGGTATATAAAATCATGGAGATGGAGATATATATATATATGGCATATTTGTTCAAATCAGACCTAATTTGACCTAAAAATTCAATAATTTAACAAGACATTTGCATGTTCACGGTTCTCTGATGTCAGTTAATGGTCACGCAACATGCAGGGAAAATATAATACTTTGCAAAATATATTTTCTTTTTTTTAGTAGGTGTATTATTTTGATAATTTAAGAATTAAAAAAATTATTTTACATATTTAGATTTTGTTTATTATAACAATTTATTTATTTATTAGCTAAACCTCCTGCAGTTCCCTCATGAACCACCAGGGGTTTGCAAACCACATTTTAGGAAACACTGGTATGAATAAATATGTGCAAATATTTGCAAAATTGACCAACCAGACCTCTTTAACCTAGTTTTAATTTAAATAATTTTTAATTTAAACACATTTGCATGTTCACAGTTCTCCGATGTCAGTTAAAGGTCACATGACATGCACATGACAAAATATAATATTTTTTTTAATTAAATATTTGAACTTTTTTAGCATGTGTTTTTTAACGATAATTTCAGATTTTGAATAAATAAAAATAATTTTACATATTTTATGATTTTGTTAAATTCAATGAATCAAATTAATGAATGACTCAATGACTTTTTGATTAAAACATTTATCACCACCTATTGGCAGTTTTTGTTTCTTATTTAGATTATAACTGTTTAAAATAATTTAATATTTTATATATTAATAAAAAAATCCATATAAAAAAAATAATTAAAAGGATAGTTCACCCAAAAATTAAAAATTAAAAAAAGAAAATTAAAAAGATTTGTTTATTTTTTTCAAGCTACTTTTTGTAATGTCTGCTTGGTGCTTTTCTCCTTTAACACAAATAATGACTTTAAATTTTCTTTTTGGCGTAATTTTTTGGCCAAATTTGATGTCCGATTAATATGTAATTAATTTAGGTTAATTAATTAATCGCCATGTCTTGCAATCTTGTAATTAAAATTGTAATCGCTTTTATATGTGTGTGTGTGTGTATATATATATATTAGTGCTGTCAAATAATTAACCGCGATTAATCGCATCCAAAATAAAAGTTTTTGTTTACAATATATGTATGTGTGTGTGTGTGTATATGTACAGTTTAAAAAACTATCAACACAAACTTTGACCCTTTGGTTGCCAGGGTGTTGCTATGTGGTTGCTAGGGTGTTCTGGGTAGTTGCTTACTGGTTTCTTAAAAGAACTTCTTGCTTGATAGTGAGTTTTGTGTTTAAACGTCGTCTTCAGCACAGGATAGGAGAGATGTTTTTAAGTCAAACATCATCATGTGTCATCATCATGTGAAATGCGTTATATATCCAGATCTGGAGTCAGTATAACGCCTGATCACCCAGCGGTCTCATTTAGGGGCGGCGTGTGTTTGGCTGGAAAAGGAAATGATTACAGCATGTTCTTAAAGGAGCTTAATCATCTTAATTAACTAGTTCTGCTGCTAAATTAGCTTAATCATATTAATTAGGGCTGTGTAAGCACACCTGTGCAGAGAAGCATGGCTCCCATAGTCCCTCCAGTGCACACGGGTGATGAACATGCTTCTCATTACAGCAGAATCAGACGGGTTTACATGCAGCTCGGTGTGCTGTACTGGAGATTAAGAGCTTAGGTGTCATGAGTGGTGTTTAGGGTGTTGTTGTGGTGTTCTGAGTGTTTTAGTGTGTTGCTATGAAGTTGCTGGGGTGTTCTGAGTCTTAAAAGAACTTCTCCTCAGTTGTAGTTTTAATAGCGTAACAATCATATCATGGAGCTTGATAGTGAGTTTTGTGTTTAAACATCATCTTCAGCACAGGACAGGAGAGATGTTTTTAAGTCAAATATATCCAGATCTGGAGTCAGTATAACGCCTGATCACCCAGTGGTCTCGTTTAGGGGCGGCGTGTGTTTGGCTGGAAAAGGAAATGATAACAGCATGTTTCTAAATGAGCTTAATCATCTTAATTAAGTAGTTCTGCTGCTAAATGAGCGTAATCATATTAATTAGGGCTGTGTAAGCACACCTGTGCAGAGAACCGCGGCTCCCACAGTCCCTCCAGTGCACACAGGTGATGAACATGCGCCTCATTACAGCCAAATCAGACGGGGTTACATGCAGCTCATTGTGCTGTTCTGGAGATTAAGAGCTTTGATGTTATGAGTGGTGTTTAGTGTGTTGCTATGCAGTTGCTAGGGTGTTGTGAGTGTTTTTTGTGTGTAATTTGCTATGCTGTTGTAAATGTTTACGTGTGTTGTTATGCAGTTGCTATGGTGCTGTGAGTGTTTTTAGTGTTGCTATGCTGTTACTATGGTGTTGTGAGTGTTTTTAATGTTGCTATGCTGCTGTGAGTGTTTTTAGTGTTGCTAGGGTGTTGTGAGTGTTTTTAGTGTTGCTATGAAGTTGCCAGGGTGTTGTGAGTGGTTTTTGTGTGTTGCTGTGCGGTTGCTAGGGTGTTGTGTGTTTTTAGTGTTGCTATGAAGTTGCCGGGATGTTGTGAGTGGTTGTTGTGAGTGGTTTTTGTGTGTTGCTGTGTGGTTGCTAGGGTGTTGTGTGTTTTTAGTGTTGCTATGAAGTTGCCGGGGTGTTGTGAGTGGTTTTTGTGTGTTGCTGTGTGGTTGCTAGGGTGTTGTGTGTTTTTAGTGTTGCTATGAAGTTGCCGGGATGTTGTGAGTGGTTGTTGTGAGTGGTTTTTGTGTGTTGCTGTGTGGTTGCTAGGGTGTTATGAATTTGTTTTTTTGTGTGTTGCTATGAAGTTGCCGGGGTGTTGTGTTTTTTTGTGTGTTGCTAGGGTATTGGGAGTGGTTTTTGTGTTTTGCTGTGCGGTTGCTAGGGTGTTGTGTGTTTTTAGTGTTGCTATGCAGTTGCCAGGGTGTTGTGAGTGGTGTTTGTGTGTTGCTGTGCGGTTGCTAGGGTGTTATGAATTTGTTTTTTTTGTGTGTTGCTAGGGTGTTGGGAGTGTTTTTAGTGTTGCTATGAAGTTACTGGGGTGTTGTGAGTTTTTAGTGTTGCTGTGCAGTTGCCAGGGTGTTGTGAGTGGTTTTTGTGTGTTGCTGTGCAGTTGCCAGGGTGTTGTGAGTGTTTTTTGTGTGTTGCTGTGCGGTTGCTAGGGTGTTATGAAATTTTTTTTTGTGTGTTGCTATGAAGTTGCCGGGGTGTTGTGTTTTTTTTTTGTGTGTGTTGCTAGGGTGTTGGGAGTGTTTTTAGTGTTGTTATGAAGTTACTGGGGTGTTGTGAGTTTTTTGTGTGTGTGTGTGTGTTGCTGTGTAGTTGCTAGGGTGTTGTGGGTGTTTTTAGTGTGTTGTCATGCCATTTCTAGGATGTTCCAGGTGTTGTTTTTTTTAGTGTGTTGCTGCACAGTTGCTAAGATGTTCTGAGCGTTGTGTGTGTGTGTTGCTATGCAGTTGCTAGGATATTGTTTTTTTGTGCGTTTCTATACAGTTTTCAGTTTGTTTTAAGTGTTTTACTGTGTTGCTATGTAGTTATTAGGGTGTTCTGAGTGTTTTTAGTGTGTTGCTATGCAGTTGTAGTTAGTGTAGATGGTGTGCTTGTAAAAATCCTAAATCAAATTATGCTTTGCATTAAATGTCAAAAGACAACAGAATAGATGAATATAAAGCACTATGAGTTCATGTTGTTCTTTGAAGTTTGGTAAAGCAAATCTTAGGTTTTGAATTCTGACGTCTCCAGCTAGACTCTTTACTTGTCTTAACCAGAACCACAATGTAAAAGCATTTAAATTCAGCCAGGTGTACCATGGTATCACCACAGTACTTTTAAGTAAGGAGAAACACAAAGACAAAGCCTGTAAGTGCTGCCAAATAACCAAACACTCCTGAACAACATCGATTAAGCAGCCACAAGATGACCGGTTAAAACTCCTGCGGTAATAAGGACAAACGATTTCATGTGGAGGAAAGAGGATATCTATAGCTCGGACTAAACAAGGCCAAGGTCACTCACAAACCCTTTCAGCACTTCTGCTCGGGAGAGACTTAAATGTGATATTGGCAAATTAGGGGCCAATGAGCGCGAGAGAGCCGGATAGATGGACTAAAGGTTGTCATTTAACAAGACGCTGCCATTTACTATTGATTCTTTGGCAAGTAGATAGACAGCAGCCTGCTAAACGTAACCTCACAGTCTCGACCTCAGACGACATGGACCCGCAGACGTTCACTGACCACCTCTGGTGCTGTGTATTGAATTTTATTTAATTTATAATTTATCATTTCTTCTTGTTTACTGTTTGTTTTTGTTTTTATTTTGTTTTATGTTTTACTGAATTTTTTTTTATTTACATGCTGAAATGTGAAGCATTTAGAGCTATATTTTGCTAATATATATGTGTATATACAGTATGTGTATTTTTTGCAAATTTTGCTCTATACACACACACACACACACACACACACACACACACACACACAGAGTGGTGGCCAAAGTGGATATCTATTAACTAAATTAAATCAACATTTGGTGTGAGCATCCTTTGTGTTTAAATCAGCTTTTGCCCTTGGTGCAGTTGAGCAGAGTTTCTCAGGAGCTTTGCAGGTAGGTTTCTTGAAGCATCTTTATTTTATTAAATTTAATCTTTTACACACACATATAATAATAATAATATTATTATTATTATCTTGAAGCACTTTGAGGACTGTTTTGTTTAATTAAATTTTATTTTATAAGAATCCGTCCCTACATTTCACATAAAAATGAATTGACAATTTCTTAGATGGGTCACATGGTCTCTTCCTGGCCGATTGGGCAGTTCTTGGCCGGAATAAGCTTCAAATTGGACCAGATTTTGTCAATAATCAGACGTCTGGCTATGTGACACCACCGTCACCCCTGACTTTGAGTCTCGGATGAAAGAGAAGCCATGAGACGCTTCACTTGTTCAGAACAGATGGCCTTTACTTTCACATGAAAGTCCAATAATGTCATTCTTAATGGTGAGGTAACTGCTATTAAGGAT